TTTTAAAAGAGACAAATGGTTACCAATTTTATTCAAACTCACTTCAAGAAAGCTGAAGTTATTGAAAAATGGAAACCTAAATTAAAAGTGGTAAAACGTGGTGGTAAGTATACTTACCACGGTCTTCAAAAGGGTTAAATTTATTAATAAATCCCACCATAGTGAGGACTGAACCTTGAAGGGATAAATGAACTATAATAATTAAAACAGCTCGCGACTTTTAAAATTTATCTATGATTTGAATTGACAATTTCTAAAATTCAAAGAACTAGTTCCTCAGCGAACTCTAGCTTTTCAAACACTGCCAAACTAAGTTAACGCTAAGTTTAGATTTAGTACATATTTTCATGAATTCAAAATTCATCTATAATTTCCATCTGATACATACTTAATTCAAAATTGTTTAAAATCAAAGAACTAGCGAACATAAAAATTTCCAAATTTTCAAACACTGCCAAGCTAAGTTAACGATAAAGTATGGATCTAGCACACATTTTCATGAATTCGAAATTCATCAATAATTTCCTTCTGATACATACATTCAAAATTGTTAAAAATCAAAGAACTAATACCTCAGCGAACATTATAAACTCTAGCTTCTAAAATACTGTCTAAGTTGAGGCCAAGTATCGATTTATCATACATTTTTATGGAAAATAAAAACTTATAATTGCAGAATTCCAATACTAACTTTTGTATTAGTCTTTTTATATCAGTTATCTTCATCCGCTGTCACCCAATCAGTTAAGGTTTAACACCGGACAAGGGTTAGTTGATTTTTAATTTATTCTATAATTAATTAAAGTATCTAAAATTTAATCAATGGAATTATCATTTCACGTGTGTGATGAATTGCACATCATTAAATGAAGTAAACCTGCATAACAATGATCATAAAAGCTCTCAAGACGGAAGTACAATTATATCAGTGTGCTTATCACCATAATGCTAAAGTGTGCAACACCGATAAATATAATCTTTCATATGTGCGAACATTCATTATCTTAAAATTGTAACCTTTTTTTTTTTAAAGTAAATTCTTCCATAACCTAATATAAAAGTAACAATTCACATGGAAATTAGTTTGAATACAAAGTTAGTTTCAATTTAATGTAACAAATAAATTGAAATAAATTAAGAACATCTTGAACATGATTTGTATACACTAATATCTTATTTTTATTTTACAACTATTTAATCTTAAGATTTAATAATGAAATGTTTTAAATTATAGAACCCAATTGGTTTCAAATGCGCACTCAAGGAAATTTCGAGACATTCTAATGATTGTTTTCAAATTACTATAACATATTAGTAAGACAAAAGCATCATCCTGATAAAATTAAATTACTCTCACCGTTTAAATTTATTGAAAAACGTAGTTATTAAAGTTTTAATTTATTTTTTATTTTTTTAAAATTTGGTTACGAATTAACTCTATTGCATAAAACAATACAGCTTTTTAAATATTATAACTGTTTTTTAGAAACCGACAGCAATATGAAATCATTAGTATAACACAATAATGCATATTACCTGATTGCAAACTTCATACGCTTCAAAAATACACAAAAATGAAATGACCGTCGACATGTTGCAAGTGCATCAAGCTCCCATTTCCAAGACTGACGTGAAAGTAAAGAATCAAAAATGATTTTAAAGAAAAAGAAGAAAAGCGTTAAGTTGCCAACGAAAAATGGATGAATGAAGGTAAGAAACTAAAAAAACCGCAGAAGCCGAGATAAAAAAGAAATGAAAACCAGAACAAGAATAAATACTTTGGCCGAGAGGCAAATCAGAGTAAATTATATTTACACACGTTATGAAGAGGAGGAGAGGAACTAATGTTGTTAACACGTTGAGCGCCGCGTCAGCCATCGGTGGCTGACACTGAAATTGCATTTAGGCCGCGTCAACCACCGGTGACTGACACTGAAATTACATTTAGGCCACGTCAACCACCGGTAGCTGACACTGAAATTACATTTAGGCTGCGTCTACCACCGCTTGCAGACACTGACCTCTCACATAGGCCGCGAAAAACAGCTGGATGACACCTTATAACATGATATAGAACTATAAAATTTACACTCTTTTATGGAATTGCAGAAAATATATTCAAAATTTACTTAATTATTGTGATTCTTAGTTTAATAAATTAAATTTAGTAGATTTTTATTCACCACTATTTTTAAACAATTCGTAGGCATATATAATTCACCACTTTTGTCAGATATGCTATGCTAAACCTTTTATAAACTAGCAAAATTTGTCTATTTTTGCAAATTTAGATTGTAGTTATTTATTGTGGCATTCAAATGATTAAGTCTGGAATCATAAAACGCTTAAAACATGTCGACTGTCATTTCATTTTTTGTATATTTTTGAAGAGTATGAAGTTTTCAATCAGGTAATATCTTTCAGTTTCTTGGGATTATTTATTTTATCAATAATACATGGTCAAGATTCCATATTAACTAAATGAAAACTTATTTTGGAACATCGAATTAATTGGAAGTATATAATAAATTTTTATGGAACTCAAATAATTGCACTTATTTAGTGACATATGATGAGTATTCGTTACACCATATTTACAAGAATCAAACAAAATAAATTTGGTTACAAAACATTTTGTCGAAAGGCAGCTCATACAATACAAGATTTACATGGTTCGAAACACTTAATAGTTAATATTTTTAAACCATTAGTTAAAGTTGATAGAAGACTTTGAAAGTGTTACGTTAATCTTTTACCAATGCTTGTGTGCAATCATTGTATATACAATATTTAAAAATTCATTTTTAAATATGTACACATCTTATGTGCAAAAGATAGAATACAAAGTGAAATATTTTTAGCAAGACTTACATACATTAGAGTATACGACCTGCTCAATTAAAATTCCTTATAACAAAAAGACTTTATACGGTTTTTAATAAAAATAACTTAACTTAGTGATGACGAAATAAAAATTGATGAATTATAAGGGGATATTTTTTTTAAATGGTTAGCATTTAAAATCATTATCTATAAGTTATCAGGCCTTTAACATATATGTTTCACCTATTTATATATAAATAATCAAAATCAATCTTAATCTTTTCTAAGGCCGTGCTAAGTATATTTACCGTCACTATAACATTGGTATGCCATTTGTTATTAATTTCAGCTCTGATGAAGTAATATTGAATAAAATTGGTTACAATATGCCTGTTTTTAGGGAATGTAAAATAAGTAATAACATTAAATTTCTTTTTCAGTTTGGAGTATTTATAAAATTTAATTTAAAAATGAAAGTCATTAAGTTTCTTACTTTTATATAACATCTATTAAGTAGTAGTAAACATACTTACCACAAAAATGTTAAAATTCAAATTAATTTTTATCAATTCATATAAAAGTATTTTAATGTGCCTTTACTAGAAATAAATGACCTATTTATTACATGGTTAACTAAATTTATCAAATCAAAGATCAATTTTGAAGTCATTTTATGTGGTATGATGTTACTCTTAAAAAGATTATAAATCTTCGGAATCCTGGAAAACGGCAGCTAATATTGGCAATTACCGATAATATATTCAACAAAATGTGACATTTTGCCTATTAGCCATTTTGCTCAAAGAATATAGCAAATGGTCAGTGTGTTTAGGTTTTGCTAACTACTCTAACTTATAAACTTTAAACAAACTACTCTAACTTATAAACTTTAAACAAACTACTCTAACTTATAATAGCGGATTCTTTTTAAACATTTGAATTAAAATGTTATTGGCAAAGGATTTTAAACGTTTCTACAGTACATTAAAAATACCCGAGAAGCTTGTTGTAATGTTTTTAAATGCTGACCAAATTCCCTTTCAGTAAAAATGCTGACGCAATTTCCTGACACTTTAAATGCTGATGCTATTTCCCCTGCTATCTGGACAGGTCATATATAATGTAAATAGGTCTTGTATAGAAGCATATTTTATACTAGATGAACTCTTCTATGAATAAATAGCTACAGATCTAATTTACATTATTCTATGAGCATGTTTGTAAAAACAGACAATCACATTTACAAGTATTTGTGCTTTTTTTTTCTTCGAATATATATATACGTAGCACTCTGACAAATATAATAAGCAAGAAAATTATTTTTGTAACAAGTACGCAAGAACGCACTCGTGAGAGATCAGTTGTTACCTGAAAAACGTGATTTAAAACCACCTAAACATAGCTATTTTTCGCGATCATCGCAATCATTTTCTGATGTGAAACGATGGGTATCGTTGTTAACTTCGATGCTTTTATGAGGCATAAGGCGAAATGCCTCACTCCTTATGAAAGCATACTGTGTTATGTAGAGTTGGATAGCTGTTTGAGGACAAATCTTTCTGTAAAAGGTATTTTTGTAAGGTGATTCTTAAAGATATTGTATGTAAGAGAGTTTCCCGAAAGTAAATAGACACGCGTAATGGCATCAGATGTATAAAAATTACAGCAGCGCCACCCATCAGGGTTATTATTGATAAAAGATAAGTGCAATGTAGGTTGTGTATAAATTTATTAGTTCATATGAGAGCATTTAAGGTGAATCTAGAGTTAAAATGAATGCGTCCAGAAAAGAGCAACATGAAGTAGTAGGATTATTAATGGTAAGAGATGATTGCATAGTTCCTTCAATTAAAGTGTTACATATAAGTCATATGTTGCGACTTTTCGATCAACACTAACTATATCAGTGTTTCCCAAACTTATGACTTTTGTGTACCCTTTCTAAATTTTTCGTAACTCTGTGTACCGCTAATAAAAAAATTAATGCATTTTTTAAAACACTATTTTTTAAAACAAATATGTTTATTTTTACTGTAAAAAAATTGCACAAAAGTTAAAAATCACAACTGGCTGTTGACACTACTAATTATTAACTGTTAGCTTTGCAAAAATAATAGCCAATAGAAAAATACGTAATTGTAAATTTTCATGGCCAGCATAGTTTTTAAACAAATTTTTTGAAATTTTCGTTTGTTGAAAGATATTTCGCATAAGAACGGGTACCCCCGTTAAACTTTCCTCGTACCCCTGGGAGTACGCGTACTACACTTTGGGAAACACTGAACTATATCATCATCAGCAATTAACAATTCGTTAGAGATTATGGCGCTTGCTAAACATGGTCTTATATATGGGGCAATTACAATATAAATCTAAGCCGCCAACGAAAACTTTCATATAATTTGATCATAGCCGTTTCTTTTAGACAGTGAACTCCTGCAGCCGTTTCTTCAAGACATCATAAACGGCAAACATAAACGGCATCTACTCACTTTCTGTCATTAAAAATCATACCATTGCGCATAGTTCTCATTAGTTTGCATCTATCTTAGAACGATTTTACATTTACTTTAAATGCTTTCAAGATTACTGGTTAATCAGTTATATGCTATCTAGGATGCTCATAATTATGGTGCAACCATCGCTACTGTAATTCTGATGCTATCACGCGTGTCCACTTTTTGTCCTTACAGTATTGTTATTAAGTAATTTAAAAGCAAGTTTATATGAAACACATTCGCGGAATTTTGCAATAAAAAAAGAGTTATTATTTTTTGTAGGATATAAAACTATGTGCATAGCTTTGGCATTCTTTTAATTGAACAACAAGTTACATTGGCAGTTAAGAAAACAGTTAAAATTAATGACCAATTGAAAAAAAAAGATTTATTACACCCGGTAATACTAATATATACTAGGTCTAGCTAGTTTAGTTTTTTGTTGATTTGTTTTTGATACCATTTTTAATTGTTTCAGAAAACAAACATGAGTCAAGTTTTATTTTTCATTAAAAAGACCTACCTTCATCGTAGAATCACAGTTTTTCATTTGAATACCTCAAATGAAGAGACGATTATTTCCATGAAAATAATACAATTAATAATTTGAATAAATAAATATTTCCGGAGTAAATTACTTATGATTCAACGGTTGAAAAATCTCAGTTAATTAGTGTTGTTCACATTTGTGTTGAGTATGTAGGGTTATAAGTCAACCAAGTTCTTTCTGACTAATACCAAAAAAAAAATTTCTTGGATTTAATTGATAAAGCAAGCGAAGCATTAATGTATTCTTAAATTACTTTTTTTATTAAAATGCTTGATAATTTTTTTTAGTTTTATAGAAATACCGATCAGTTGTAATCTTTGTTCAAGAATGATAAAATTAACACATAGTTTCAGTTCCTTTAATAAGTGACTTCAGGGTCTGTATGGAATGAGCCGACTGGGATTTAGGCATGGGTTCATCAGGCGAAGAGTCTGTAGCGGGATCTACGGTGACATTTGGTGCAGAGGGGGATGGGCTTATACCTCCCATACAACAAAACCCCCTTCTCTCACTGTCCTCCAATTCCGAATCAGATTCTCCTTTATTGCTACAGAGCTCTTCCAAACTAACAGTCAAGTTCTCAGAGTCTCTGTGAAGTCTCCTCTTTATGAGACCCTCCATCATGTGATAATCAGCCTCTTCGGCTCCATGGAGAATCTCCGACTCCACGGAGAGTAGAGTTTGGTACTCGGCGCTGCTCTGTCGCGAAAAAGAAGGTGCGAATGTGTGGGTCAGCGGTGAAGTTGCCCTCGGGCGACTATATCTGGTCATCGAAAAGCTCTCAATGTCATCTGTGATGCTGGTATACTCACCACGTGTCATGCCTAGGTGAGGTCTTAAGCCTCCAGGGTACAGACTGCACTCACTGTTGTTGAGAGTGGGCTTACGCGTCATGCCTCCGCCCACGGCGACAGATGCACTACGTTCCACGAGCTGCTTTGTTGGTATGAGGCCACCGACTGTGTCTTCCATCTGGGATACGCTGTTGCCTCTAGCGAGGGCAGGTTCGGAAGCTGCAACATCCGATTCCACCGACAGCACATTGAATGTGTCGTGGGTGGGAACCGTCGATTGTCGGAACAATCCCAGTCTGTCGATGGCGGTCCTCGACAGTCGACGCTGATGACGACCACCGATGAAGACAGATTGTGATTCTACTGAATACTGAGGAGTGAGAGAGTTCTGAGATGTGACAGGTTCACGTGTGTCGTTAAACTGCACTCTGCTCGAAGATGGACTCTAGAAAAATAGTTGAGAAGTCAGATAATATAACAGAGAATATAATAGGAATAGAATTTTGCCAATCCTTTAATTACTATTCTACAAACTAATGCTACGTGATACCATTAAAGGAATAGCATATTTCATAGCCTTTTAAGATTCCTTTAATTTAATAAATTTAATTATTTAATCATTCTTGATCCAATTTTAATTAAATTAAAGCAGTTTTTTTCTTCTAAATAATGTAAAGGCTAACTTTCTAATCCATTACATGCGTATAACTCATTAATTCATTGTCGCGACCAAATCGAATATCAAAATCTATTGTTAACTTTAACCTGCTTCATTTTTCTAACCACAAAAATGTTCCGGTTGCAGGGTTATATTAATTTCTCACAGTCCTTGTGGTGATTAACCTGTAGCCAGATTATTTAAAATTAAATGTTTATAACGAATAGGTGTTTTGCTTTTGGCTATATTGTCTATCGATAACTCGCCAACTTTGGATTTCTTTCCATGCTCCTAAGGTGTGTAAAAAATTATTTCGCTGGTAATTTAAAACTGTCAGTGTTAGGACAGGAGGCGTTTTGATGCCCGAGGGCTCCTTAGTCCAACAGTTTATTAATTGTAAAAATCATCATTGTTTTAAAAATAGATTTCTTCTCCTCTATAAAGGCTAATTGAGCCCTGTTGGTTCAGAGGATTGAGCTTTCACCTTCCAGTAAGGTGAGCTGGGTTCGAATCCCAGCAAAAAGCTGGTCGATGCGAATTACGCACCCGGCTTCGCACTGACTTCAGTGATGACGTAAAATATCCTCAGTGGTATACGAATCATGGGTTAGAGTTCCCTTGCCACCAGACCAACCGTGGGAGGTTTTCCTCACTATGTAACGCAAATGGGGGTTAGTTCCATGAAAAAGTCCCTCAGGAAGACAAATTTCTCCCAATACTTAATCCAGAAGTTCCCTTGTCTCCTAGATTAGGTTCAAAATTACAAGGCTACGGAGTTGAAAATTCGTAGTCGTAAACCCAAAATCGAGTCGGCAGTTCAACGACTGCTATAAAATAAAATATAAAGGCTTATTATTTTGTTGCCGTTTATTATTTTATCGTCTGCATATGGCTTTATTTGCATATTCCATAAATATTCTCTAAATAAAACAACAAGTTTTTGTTCAAATTCTGGAGTAAATCATCCCTATTTTACAAGAAAAGCAAATGTACCAGAAAACACCACTACTATGGCCGAAGCCTTCCATAAAACTGAACAAACTAATTCTTTCATAATAACTGGACTGAAATCTCCCGAAAACTATAAAATTGGAATAATTGTCTTGATAGGCTGTATCTCTGCAAAACCATGAATTACCTACATACAGCTGATTTGAGAAAACAAGACCAAACTTATCCACGGTAGTTCACTTTACTTTTGGCAGATGGCAGCACAAAAAGAGGCATTTATAACCTCCTCTACGAATGCATTGATTTACATTGATCTGAGCTGTGAAGTTTAATTAAAACATTTTTATTTAAAATTTAAAAAATGAATGAGAGTGATGTTAACATAATCTTCTTGATCGTTGTGTAAGAAAACGAAAGTACTTCTAAATGAACTTCAGTAAAATTTGTATCTTTAAAATTCGATATGAAAATTTCTATCTTTCTAGATTTTTTTTATTCCTCTATCTGATATTTTTCTTTTATAATACATATTTGATTTTGTTGCCACTGATAGTTTTGATGTGAGCCGCGATGAATTAGGGGTTAAAGCAGAATGTCTGTAGTCTCACAAAAATCTCTTTTAGTGGATCTGTTAATTGCCACTTCTTCTAAAAACTTATTTCTATTCATCTATCCCAGATTCGTTTGTGAAAATAAATTACTTAAGAAATTATTTATTTCAAAAATCCTTAAAAATTGTATTTGGAATTAAGATCACGAAAAATTTTCCTGACCGGTAGCCACCCTGATTAAAGGCACTGAGCTGTCATTGTGAAGTACTGGGTTTTGAGCTTCAGTTTCGGCTTGAAGCCTACGCAGCTTCAAATCGATGGAATGAAATAAAAATTGTAGAGCCTTAACCTTCTAGATCCCCTATGTCCACATCAGACTATTTTGGGAAAGCTTTATGATAACTTTGCTTTGTTTTCTGTAATAAAATGTTATTTTTCAATATATATATTTTTTTTACTAGGAGAACGTGAAGTTTCTCATCAGGGCGCATTCCTTTACGGCAGCAAAAGAGACGTTTCAAAATAAACAAAACTTATCCTTAGATAAAAATCACTCTTTATAATGCGCCTATTCTTCTAAAAAATTAAAAAGAAATATAACATTAATTGAGCTTGAGATGAAAAAAGTAAAGCAGAAACAGACTTACCAATATAAAGTAAAATAAAATAAACCTGCGTTAAAATTAGATGTACTAATCTAACAGTAACAAAAATTTTTAAGAAGAAAAAAAACGAATGTGCTCTTAGCTTTATCGTAAAAATAATTGGTAAAAAATATATAAAGCAAATAACATTACACTGCTGCCATCTATAAAAAAACACTTTAATAATAATAATAATAATTGGAATATTTCAGTAACAACCCCTAATAGGTAAAGAAGTTAATAAAAACAAAAAAAATATTTCATTTGTAAAATTATTAGAAAAAAGCCCCATTTAAAGGTAATATTTGCAGAGTTTAACATACAAACGTAAACTAGGGATAAATCCTTTTATTGGTTTCATAGGGAGAGTGTTTATAAGTCAGAGCCCACATACGTAGATAGAAGGTCGTTTATAGACTTTATCCTTCATTCATACATTTTTCCATGGCAGTAAAGTCTACCTGTATTATCAGCATTCATCGGTTGCGTCCGCTTATAGGTTAGAGACATTCATACCTATTAGGAAAGCTATCTGTTTTTGCATAGCTATCTGTTTGTTATTTGCCATGCCCTTAGTGATAAAAAATGCTATATTTCCCCATCAGAGGAAATTTTGAACAAAAATATGCATATTCTTATTCCACTAACGGTATTTAAAAGTCAAAAAATTTATAAAACTCTAATGCTAAAACTTTTTGTCGCCAAATATAAATAATAATAATTATTTTATGACACGAACTTTTCTTAACACAAATTTTTAATTCCCTAACTGTACAATAATATCCTTTAAATGTAAATATCATATAATTTATAAAAAATAAATGACTGTTACGATTTTAAATCTTGAAATACAAGTTGGTCTCTAGAGGCGGCTAGTCTATGATACATTAATCTATGAAAATTAAAAGAACAGAAATTCAGAGGATGCCATACCTTCACAGGTTGAGGCAATGATGGATCTTCCAGTACCAATGCTTCATTTGTGGGCTCCACAATTTTAGGAGCTTCTGTGCTCCTAAGACGTGTAAAGCTCTGAGCGTGTTCGTCCTTTTCATCATCTGACGGCTCTGATTCATCACAGATTGAAGACATTGTTCTAAAATGAAAAGATAATCATCAGCATGCTAAGCAGTACGAATATTTTTAAACAATTAAGTTTTTTCCCTATATTTTTTTAAAAATTTAGTTACTCCCATATTTCGCGCAACAAATTGTTAAGGCTGTTTTTTTAAGACTCTGTCATCACATGCGAAAGCTTCAGTTTTGTTAAAATAAAAAGCGTTTGTGATCTAATCTTAAACATTTAAAAACTTATTCCAAAGCTGCATTATTTGAGCTCATAAAAATTTGCAAAAATATAGAATTATTCATAGATTTTGATAATTTTTATCTAGGTGAAAAAAAAGTCTCACCAAATTCCGGAATATTGAACGACTTCCCTTTGTTTTTGGTTCTTGGACTGGAAACTTTCAAAAAACGATTGTCAAGGAAAGAAATTTTTGCTGAGAAAATTCAAATCCACAAATTTCATGATTATTAATTCAAGACTCTTTTATTGATTCGAATATTTTCCATTCTTTTCATTTCAGAACTAGGTTAGTCATAAGTCGAAATAAGTCAGCCGTTTCCTAACTTCTTAAATCAATATCGTATACCAGTTACCAGTACGACATACTAGTCAACTCAAATCAATATCGCATACTTGTAGAGTTATTTGTACCCCGGGAAAGAGTATCAACTGTTAGTAAAATCAGTTCATATTTATATTGTTCCCGTAAGAAGTAAAGCATCTTTGACTTCCAACACTCGTTAACATGGATTTTCGGATGAAAATTTAAAAAGCCGTTGTTTAACCCTTTCGCGCCGACTGTCACAAATACGTATCAGCATAAAACCGTATCAATCAGGGTAAAAAGATAAAACTGGTAACCCAAGTATTTCTTTAGCAGTTTATTTGTGGGCGGAGTTATAATTGTTTGATTTATTTAATTCACCATTACTTTAGTTCAAAATAAAATTATTTAGTTATACTTTGAACTACCATTGATTATACACTCTATAACAAAAAAATCGACGCACCAAGAAGGAGTTGTCCGATTGAAACGGAAATTGATGAATAGGAAGACAATGTACAGAATAGAAAATGATTAAAATTTCAGAACAATTGAATAATTTATTGCAGAGTTACAGTAACAAGTTTAATAAGGTGTTGACCCGCCTCTAGCCTGGATACAAGCTGCCACACGGCGTGGCATAGACCGATAAAGCTCCCGGATGGTCTCTTGCGGTATTTCCTGCCAAATTCGATCCAATTGTCGAACAAGGTCATCAACATTCCGTGCCAGATACAATATCCTTCCCATCATATCCCAGACATGCTCGATGGGAGAGAGATCTGGTGATCTGGCAGGCCAAGCATGAGAGTCACCATCACCTCTAATTTA